CTTTAAACATAGTTTCAATAATTTTATATTTTTACAGTTGATAATTTCTCTTGATTTTAGAAACTTCTCATTATTACTTATAAAATAAAGATATTTTAAATAACATCTTAAAAGCTTTAACATCATTTTTTTCAAAAGAAATAAATCAAATTTACTCTGAGCTAAAAATTAAATTTGTTAGTTGAGTGCAATTACTCAAACCTAATCCAATATTTTATGCTCCTTTATCACCGATTTCATTGCCCCTTTTCAAATAAAATAAATAAATTTATTTACTATTTAAATTTGTTTTGAAATTTAAATCAAAATCTTTAAAATAATTCAAGCTTTTTTTAGTTAGCAATAAATAAATAAAATATAATTTTACGAAATGTCAAATTTGAGATTAGTTAGGAACTTGAAGTTACCAAGTGCTGCACCAATAGTAGAAGCTCCATCATGCCCAATTTAATTGTATCTTTTATATTTGCAAATCACGTTTAATTAAAATTTAAGACATTTTATAAATTCAAAGTTTTTTTTAATTTAGTTTAATAAAATGGTTTGACATAATTTTTTAAAAGTTATAAATTAAATAAATTACCTTATGTCAAATTCTAAATTTGTAAGTTGAGTGCAGTTACTCAAACCTAATCCAATATTTTATGCTCCTTTATCACCGATTTCATTGAACCTTTTCAAATAAAATAAATAAATTTATTTACTATTTAAATTTGTTTTGAAATTTAAATCAAAATATAAAAAATAATTCAAGCTTTTTTTAGTTAGCAATAAATAAATAAATAAAATATAATTTTACGAAATGTTAAATTTGAGATTAGTTAGGAACTTGAAGTTACCAAGTGCTGCACCAATAGTAGAAGCTCCATCATGCCCAATTTTATTTCCGCTTTTATATTTGCAAATCACGTTTAATTAAAATTTAAGACATTTTATAAATTCAAATTTTTTTTTAATTTAGTTTAATAAAATGGTTTGACATAATTTTTTAAAATTTATAAATTAAATAAATTACATTATGTAAAATTCTAAATTT